GGATTTTGATGGGGATTGCATTGAATCTGTAGATTGCTTTTGGTAAGATTGCCATTTTTACTATGTTAATCCTACCTATCCATGAGCACTACCATCTTACACATCCATTCTAGATCACAGATGAAACTGTAAAATAGGAACGTGGGTTAGTTATAATTTTAGCTGGCTACAGCTGTCCAATGAAAGGGAGTCTTAACTAAGGGATCGCCCAGACTAGACTGGCCTGTGGGCATGTGTGTTGGGGACTGTCTTGATTATTACTTGATGTAGGAGGATCCAGCCCACTGTGGGTGGCACTATTTCCTAGGGAGGTTGTCCTGAGCTGTATAAGAAAGCTAGTTAATTTGAGTCAGAAAGAAAGCTAGCAAGCACATTCCTTTGTGGTTTCTGCCAAGTCCCTGCTTAGGTCCTGCCCTGAATTCCCTTAGTGATGGACTCTTCCTCCCCAAAGTTGCTTTTGGTCGGAGGGTTTTATCAAAGTAACAGAATGGAATTAGAACAGTTACTTTCCTCATTAGGTAAGATACCAGATAAAAACAAGTTAAGGAAAGAAGCGTTGATTTTAGCACACAGACAGAGGGTACAGTCCACCATGGAGGGAAGTCAAGGCAGCTGAGTGTGGCCCTGACCACTCTTGTGAGGCAGCTGACCGCACTGCATCCATGTGAAGCAGAGGAATGATTGCTGGTGCTCAGCTCCCTTCTCCCTTTCCCTTTTTATTTAGCCTGGGACTCCAGAGCAGGGCATGGCGTCATGAATATCCAGGGTGGGTCTTCCTCCTCAGCTAAAACTCTGTGGAAACTCCCACAAAGACACTCCCAGGAACGTGTCTTCCAAGTGACTAAATTCGTCAAGTTGATAATGAAGATTTAGCATCCAAGAGCTCACAGATAGTATTTTCCTTACCCTGACTAGGTGGCTCTAAAACTGATTTTCCTGTGACAATCTTCATTTATTGGTTTTGTTGTATTTTAATATTCAATGGCTTTAAATTTTTCTTGACCTTAGGGGGCTATATGTCACACAAGCACACATGCACGTGTGTGTACACACACACACACACACACACACACACACACACACACACACACACACTGGACTTTTAAAGGAAAAATAGTTGGATACTTAACCGTCTATGATGAAAGATAAAGTGGGCTGAGTGTGGTAGAACACATGCTAAAAGCCCTGGATTCAGTCTGTAGCAACAAATAAAAATAAATATGACACTGGGTCTTAGTCAGTGTTCAATTGCTGTGAAAAGACACCATCCATGATCATGTTTTATAAAAGAAAACATTTAATTAGGGCTGGGTTATAGTTTCAGAGGTTTAGTCCATTACCATCATGGCAGCATGCAGGCAGACATGTTGCTGAAGAAGTAGCTGAGAGTTCTACATCTAGATCCATGGGCAGCAGGAAGATGAGACAATGGACCTGACTTGGGTTTTGAAACCTCAAAGACTATCCCCAGTGACACACTTCCAACAAAGCCATACCTACTACAACAAGGCCACATTTCCTAATCCTTCTCCACTCGTGCCACTCCCTGATGACTAAGCATTCAAATATATGAACCCATAGGGTTCATTATTATTCAACCACCACACACTGGAAAGTGCATAATTGTGTATAAAAGCTATAATTAAAAGGCTATTTTCACCAAATCTTATCCAAAATTCAATGTAAGTAGTAGTGCATATTACTATGGGGGAAGATGTTTTCTTTTCAGTTCACTTACATTGTGTTAATAATCATGGAAAGACTGGCACCCACAATAACATTAACTACCCCCAGACAGACAGCCCCAACACTTGAGTAGTCCCTACCCATGCTGACTCCAGATTTGATTATAGGATTTGCTTTGGTCAATACTGTGATCTGTACAGGCAGAGGCTCCATGTCTACATGCTGGCACACTGGGACTTGCCCTCTTATACTGACACTATTGTCACTGTATGAAGCTAGATCTAGCTCCCTAGAGTGTAGAGACCATTGAGTTCTCCAACTGAACTCAACTCTAGTTGTCCAAAAGAACCCAAGTGTGACCAGGAGAAGCATGCCACCAAATACAGAATGAAGAAGAATTGGTTATTGTAATAGGCCACATTCAGTGGTGGTTTCACATCAAAGCTCACGCAAAATCTAATTTCTAGATATTTGACCTGAAAGGAAAATACATTATGATGATCAATACAATTCCCATGCTAAAGCTAACCATAGACTTGTATAATTGAAAAATGTAAAAGCTCTTTTCAATGTTTAAAATTAAATAATGTGCAATAAATAGTATGGTATTCTTGAAAAGATTTATTTTCTAAAATTAAAAGCCTTTTAAAATATTATTATTTGAATATGTACTATAGTAAAACAATATAAAGTATACTGAAGTTAGTAAAATACTTTTTAAAGGTGGGCCTGGAATTTCCAAAAGGATGTTAACATTCAAAAATATTGAAAGAATATAAACACTACTTTAAACAGAGTTCCCCAAAGTTAAATTATAACCCATTCTTTGCATGAAGAATGAAATAAAAATTATACTTTATTAAAACAAGATTATAATAAGCCACAAGTCAAAAAAAAAAGAATTTAATTTATCTCCAAATACCTAGTGCTTAATTAAATTCTATTCAGAAAAGAAAAAGTACTGTTGTCACGGTTGAATTGTGGGACTCCTTTGGATGTCTATAAAGGCTAAGAGGATCCTAATGGCATGAGAAAGACAAGACTCCTTCCCTACGAATATTAATAGTCCGGTGAGACTTCCTGCTACCCCCTCAGCCTCACCCACTTACCGGACACTCACCCACTCACTACATTATCACCAGACATCAGGATACAAAGCAAAGCCTTCCTCCCGTAACCTTGGAAGGACCTTCCACTTACCCTGGGGCTGGAGACAAATAAATAAACAAATAAACAAACAAATAATAAATAAAAATTCTGAAGGCAAATGTATTTTGCCTCCCAAGTGGACTTTAATATTTCAAAGTGATCCTTTTTGTTGAGCTTTAGTTCTTTGAGAGTGGTTTGATCAGCTATGTTTGGAGTATTTATTTTATTTTGAGTGCGCATGTATGTGCTTGAGTGTATGTGTGTGCACCATGTGACTGCAGGAGCTTGTAAAGGTCAGAAGGGACATTGGATCTCCTGGAACTGGAGTTATTGATGGGTGTGAGCCTCTGTGTGAGTGCTGGGAATTGAACCTGGGTCCTCTGCAAGAGCAGCCAGTGCACTTAACCTCTGAGCCGTCCCTCCGGCCCCTTGCTCAGCTGTTTTGAAGTTGGCTGCCTTTATTAGAAACGTAGGCTGAAGCCCAAGGCCTTAGTTACTGAGTCTTCCTTTAGTTTACGGTTGAAAGAATTCACTTCAACCCCAAATAGCCAGGATCTGAAATACAGAAACAATCCTTGTACAGAGGTTTCTTTCCTTCTTTCCTTTCTTTATTTTTTTTCACAAAGTTCTTTTTCTTTTTTTTTTCTTTTCTTTTTTAATGTTATAGGTATACATGATTTAAAAGACCTAAGTAGTTTTGACAAGAATCCACATTCTCCAGGGCAGTCCCTGGCACTGTCTCTGGCACATCACCACCCTGACTTCCAGAGTAGAAAATGAAAGTTAACTTTTTTATTTTTTTATTTATTTTATGTTTTTTGTTTTTTATTTTTTCGAGACAGGGTTTCTCTGTGTAGCTTTGCGCCTTTTCTGGAACTCACTTGGTAGCCCAGGCTGGCCTCGAACTCACAGAGATCCGCCTGGCTCTGCCTCCGGAGTGCTGGGATTAAAGGCGTGCGCCACCACCGCCCGGCTAACTTTTTTATTTTTAAAGACAAGGTATTTCTACATAGCCCTAGTTGTCCTGCAACTATGTAGCCCAGGCTGGCCTTGAACCCACAGATCCACTGGTCTCTGCCTCCCCAGTGCTGGCATGAAAGGCATGCAGCACTGTTCCCAGCCCCTCTTCCCTCTTTTGTAAGTACCCCACACCTTCAGCATGCGTTCATCTTCTAAGCCTCCTACACAGCTACGCTGTAATTTGTTCATTCTGCCCAAGTAAGAAAATGTCACTGACACCATGGGCCAATGTGATGCTCTGCAGGATGTCGAGAAGGTCCAGGTCTCCAGGCTATTTCATGAGTGCCATTAGAAAAGTCCTAGGACCAAATTGCAAATGTGCCCTTTTCTTTGTTTTGTGTAAATGCTGACAGTTTCTGGTCTTTCCTTATGTTTGGAATAAATAAAAACAAAAACAAAAGCAAAACTACAGTCACCAAAATCAGTGATGCGTACAAATACCCAAAGCTGTATGAATCTGCTCTAGAAAATCCCTAACTTCTGGTACAGCAGCTCCATTCTAACCTACTAATAGGGTGAGTTTGCAGTAATCTGTCATTCCTTATCATCTGTATTTTTTTTTGGTAGGGCCGGATGGTGAACTAAATGGGGATACACTCTTCAGGTCTGTTTCCCTTAGATTCATAAGTGTGGCCCTAATTCCTGCTGTCCCCTCCTGAAATACAAAATTATTTGTTTTCCTGTATGTTCAAATCTGATTATTAGTGATGGTATTTGTGAGTTTCTTGGAGAGAAATAGTTTATTTTCTTTGTCCTTTTGGTCTGTGGTAACAGACCAAACTACAGGCTAGGTGGTTTATAAACATCAGAAATATATATCCAATGGTCTTTCGGGGTAGAGCAAGGCCTATATGCTGAGAGTCATACAGTATTTTCAGGGAGCTCTATGTAGGGTCATCCTCCAAACAAGGTCAGGCATTTGAACTTAGGGACACTCTCCAAGTAAGTTTAGTGGAGAAGAAGAAGCCCTGCTGAGAAAGGGAGTCCTCAGTTTTGCACCAAGCTCAGAGAGATATCCATACATGGTAAACTGCAACCTTAATAGAAGGGGTTCTTCAACATGTGGCCATGAACCTGACAGAAAAACAACATTTGGTGCCCAACATGGGGTACTACCACATGAATAGAGAAGCCATGTCAGCTGGTGCTGCTACACTCAGCTACTGCTCTAGCAAGGCTCTGTTCCAGCTGCTGCTCTGGCAAGGCTCTGTTCTAGCTGCTGACACCACTCACAGGGACTCCTCACGGGAGCTCCGGAGGGCAACCTTACACTCAGGAATTGTGAAAGGTACCTCGAACTACTGATGTAGCTGTTGTGGACAAATTGAGAAGTCAGTGATTTGGTGAGACACCTGGGCAATTCTTAAGGAGAGAGTTAAGTAATATTTTTAAAAAAATCTTTCCCACATTAAAAATGGGAAACATCACAGTGCTGGGAGTTAAGACTGTATAGTGCTACAGTGGATGGCTTGAAATGGAAAAAATAAATGAAGAAATAACCAATTTAGCTAGGATTGACATAATGCCACTTATAATTGTTATCCGTTTGGGGATTCATATTTTATCATTAAAAAGTGGTTTGATAACTGTGTCAAATATGAAAATTTGATTGATAAGAGGTAAGCTTTAGAAGGACTTACTATAGATAAGATACAAACCTTAGAAAGACCTACTAATGAAAATAAGAAAAATATTCAGACACAGAGGAATTTAGCCAAGAACCTACTGCACTACTGCATGATGAAACTGAAATGGGGCAGCCCAAGGTTATTAGAAAACCAACCATAGTTCAACCAGTTTCTAGATAAGAATGACCAGCAGATGATAGGTACTCCTGAGGTTATGCAGAAGTTAAATGGAGATCTATAGAAATATTAGATTTGGGGAGATTTAGGAAGCAGTCATTTCATATGATATACCTTCACCCTATGTGAAGCAGATGTTAAATTCATGGACACCTCAGAATAGAATTATCCTCCAAGACTGGAAAGATTTAGCCAGAGCAATATTGGAAGCTGTTCCTCAGTTACAATGGAGACTATGGTGGAAAGAGGAAGCTAGGGCCATAGAACAATGAACTAGGGGTAGAGATATTGATATTTCCCAGGACCAGTTTCTTAGTGAAGGCAGATACGTTGAATTGCAAAGACAGTTTGAATTTGATGATTTCACCTTAACCCTTTGTCATCTATCACCTTTGAATGCTTAGGACAAAGTTGAAAAGTCAAGAAAGAGGTCTGAGGTATTTACTAAAATTATACAAGGCCCCAAAGAAGCCTTCACTGATTTTTTACAAAGATTGATTTCAGCTGTAAATAGAGTAGTATGAGATCCATAAGTTAGACAAATATTAATTGAATATTTGGCTTTTGAAAATGATAACTCAGAATACAAAAGGGTGATTAGGCCTTTAAAGGCAAGATCAGCACCAATAGATGGATTAGAAATATGGCTGATATTGGATCTCACTCTCATGATGCTATTTTGATAAAAGTGATTTCTAGAAATTTTAAGAAAAATAAATACCATATGTTTTAATTGTGGTAAGCAAAGTCATTTGAAAAGGAATTGTAGTCATGGTGTTCCTAGAAACAATGTTTTTTTCAAGAGGTAACCCAAATAGAAGGTCCTAGCCTTCTGGAATATATGGAAAATGTGACAAATGCTGATCAACAAGGGACAGGCAAGCTAATCTTTTGCCATCAGGAAATGCCTTAGGGTGCCTCTTGCAGTCCCCAATATCAAATTTGGTTCAATCATGCCCGGCCAGCATTGGAGGAACTAATTCACAGGGCAATTAAAAGACTTAATACCTGTTGTTAAAAACCATATTGCTCCAGATGTCATCAAAGATAGAACAGCTTTAATAGATATAACAAAACATTTAGGAGAGAACAGAAAAACAAGTATCTTGGCAAACTGGTATAAATGATCAGAGACCAAAACTAAAAATACTAATAAATGGCATTGAAATTATAGGTTTATTGGACACAGATGCAGATGTAACAATAATCTCACTCAAATCTTGGCATCCAGATTGGCCTCTTTATGAGGTAAATATTCAACTTCTAGGGATTGGAACTTTATCTCAGGTAAAACAAAGTACTAGATGGATTGAGTTTATAGGGTCAGAAGAGCAGATGGGAAAATTAGAGCCATTTGTGGCTGATATAGTAAAGAATTTATGGGGACATGACTTGTTGCAGCAATGGAAAACACAGATTAACATTCCTTCAATCTCAGAAACAAACCATAAAATAAAGAATACTCCTGAAAAAAATATTAAAAGGTATTATCAAGAAAAGTTACAGACCATTCAGGCTGTACATAAGCAGGGCACAACCGCTAATTGGTCTTTCAAAGTTACTGTTGGGAACCTCTGCTCTGGCCCCACTCCTCCCATTCCAGACCCTGCCCCTCAGAAAGCCTGCCAAGGGTCAGCTCCTTCCCTGGAGAAGCTCAAGACATGCCTACAGGGTATTTAAGACACGGTATCTAGACCTGCTCTGTGATTTCTCTCCTGCTTTCTTCCTCCGAGAAATCCAATATCGGGTACAGAAACCTTTCGGTTACCAATAGCCTTACTTTTAAAAGGGGTAACTGAAAAACCTGTGGGGGTGGAACAATGGCCTTTTACATTAGAAAAATTATGGGGACTGTAACAGCTGGTACAGGAGCACCTAAATGCTCAACATATTGAGGAATTGACCAGTCCTAGAATTCTTCTATATTTGTTATTAAAAAGAAATCTGGAAAAATGGAGAATGGTAACAGATCTGATAGCTGTTAATAAGGTGATCCAGCCAATGGGCTCTTTATAGCCTGGAATTGCCTTGCCTTCTTTATTGCCAAATGGATGGTCCATTACAGTGATAGATTTAAAAGATTGCTTTTTTACTTTACAAGAACAGGATAGAGAAAAATTTGCCTTCAAAGTGCCTACTTATAATAATTCTCAACCTATTAGAAGATACCAGTGGAGGGTCTTGCCACAGGGAATATTAAACAAGTCCACCTTGTGTCAATATTTTGTACAACAGTTTTTAAAAATAATTCATAAACAGTTTCCTCAATGTATAATTTACCGTTATATAGATTATATCTTATTGGCTGATTCAGACACAGATATATTAGAAAAAAATGTTTGATGAAGTAACGAGAATTTTGCCTTGAGGATTATAAATTGCTTCTGAAAAAAATAAAAGAGGGGGTTCTATTAATTACTTAGGATATACGATAGGTTTACAGAAAGTTAAACAACAGAAAGTACAAATCAGCAGAGGTCAATTATAAACTCCTAACGATTTTCAAAAATAGCTGGGAGATATTATCTGGCTATATCCCACAATTGGATTAATTGCTCAAGAGCTAATATTTCAAGGCTTACAAGGTGATAAGGACTTTATTAATCCAAGAAAAGTTATCAGCTGAGACTGAGGGAGAAAAATGACTCTGGTAGGAAAGAAATTAAAGGATGCACATGTAGATCACTTGGATCCAGAGCTTGATTGTATTCTGGTTATTTTACCTTCTATGCATTCTCCAACAGGAATTCTTATGCAGGGAGAAAACAAAATCTTAGAATGGATATTTTTAGCATACAAATAGAGTAAAAAATTAAAGACCTATGTAGAAAATGTCTCTGAATTGATTCTGAAAGGAAAAATGAGACTTTGTCAATTGGCAAGAGTAGACCTAGATGAATTGTGGTACCTTTTACTAATGCTGAAATTGCCTCACTGTAGACAGAAAATGAACATTGGCAAAGACCTTGCAGTATTTTTTTGGGAGAGATTAGCAACAAATATCCCAAAAGGAAGAAACTTCAGTTTATAAAAAGAACTAATTGAATTCACCCTCACATAGTAAGAGGAGCACTAATTTCTGGAGCCCCTACATTCTATACTAATGCAAATAAATCAGGAAAGGCAGGTTATAAGTCAGGAAAAATAAATAAAATGGTTGAAAGCTGTTATGATTCTGTTTAAAAGTCAGAATTATATGCTATTCTCATGGAATTATTTGATTTTCCAGAAAATTTTAATATAGTTACTAACTCTCAATATGCAGAAAGTATTGTTTTACATACTGAAAACTCTGAGCTTATTCCAGATAATTCAGAATTAACTTTGATATTTATTAAACTATAACAAGTAATCAGAAATAGAAATCATCCATTGTATATAATAAATATCAGACCCCATATGGGTCCAGACCCTCAGGCACAAGGTAATGATGAAATTGATCAGCTATTAATAGGAAGTATTCTAAAAGCCTCAGATTTTTCATAAGAAATGCCATGTTAATTGCAAAGGTTTGAAAAAAGATTTTTCCATCACTTGGCAACAAGCCAAAGAAATGTCATACTTGTTCTTTGTTTAAGCAAACTCCACTACCTGTGGGAAGTAACCCAAAAGATACTCAAAGACATGAAATATGGCAAGTGGATGTGTTTAATTTTGTAGAGTTTGGGAAATTAAAGTATGTGTACCATACCACAGGTATATATTCAGGATTTCAATGGGCAACTGTTTTAAGTTCTGAAAAGGCTGATTCTGTAATTACACATTTATTAGACCTCGTGTGTTATGACGTGGGTGTGTGGGTTCATGTGGATCCGTGGAATGAAGATTCAGAAGCATCTTTTTTGTTTTTTTGTTTTGTTTTGTTGTTGTTGTTGTTTTCAAGATCGGGTTTCTCTGTGTAGTTTTGGTGCCTTTCCTGGATCTTACTCTGTAGACCAGGCTGGCCTCGAACTCACAGAGATCCACCTGGCTTTGCCTCCCGAGTGCTGGGATTAAAGGTGTGCGCCACCAATCCTCAGTGACTCAGAGGCATCTTAAGAATGAATACAGCCTTTCATGGCTGCAGGGGGGTCCAGACTCAAAGAACTGAAGCACTTTCCCTTCAGCCAGGGCAGTTTTATTTCTCTCCATTCCAGTTTAGCAAGTAATTTCCATATGCTCAAAACAACCTAAAAGGAGCTCCCAACAATACAATGCCAAGTGCAAATTCCTCGATGTGTCAGGTACCACAGTTTTCTGGGTTTCCTGAATCAAGTTTTGCATAGGCCTTTGTATCCTTGGGAGACTCCAAGATGGTTCACATAGAGGGCACCAAGAGAAACAAAAGGTGTCTGTTAATCAAAAGATGGATTAGGGCTAGGTGCTACTCTCTGGAGCTAGGCCAGGTCCAGCTCAGCAGGAATGCAGTGACACATGGCCATTATGGGAATACTTGTGCAAATTAAAACTGACAATGTGCCAGGCAGTGGTGGCGCACACCTTT